ATATATATGTTTCTAGTGGTCCTCTGGGCGCATAGGCGCGACATTTGCGGGGACTTTACGGAGAGCTACATTCCATGTTATGATCTGCAGCATACAGAGTCTCCAGCAGAGTTGTTTATATTCTCATGTCTAACTTGTATTCCAGACACATATTGTATTTTATTATATTTATTAGTTAATGCTCATGCACTTGTGACACCGAGTTTTTGGGGTTCCTACTAGTTATTCGCTATTGTGGTTCACGTAGTTATTATCATTTTACCCCGTAAATTCTATTTTATACTATTTAATTATTGGAGATTATAATTTCGAAAGTAATAAAATGAGTAATTAAGTTTATCAATCACCGTTGGCTTTCCTGACGTCGACGTTAGGTGCCATCATGACCTTTAGTGGATTTTGGGTCGTGACAGATGGTGACAGAAGGGGGCAATTGTCGCAAATGTGACTTTCACTTCGCATTTGTGAAGGCAGCAGATGATGATTATGATGTTTGTACCTTCCACCCATCTGAATACTCGATTGGTAGGTGTTATTGTAGGCAAACTCCGCAAGCGGCAAGAACTGATCCCAAGAACCCTCGAACTCCATAACACATACACGAAGCATATCCTCTAATATCTAAATGGTGCGCTCGGACTATCCGTCTGTATGGGGGTGGAATACTGTACTCAACTCAACCCGTGTGCCCAAATCACGTTGTATGGCTCTCCAAAAATGTGATGTGAATTGCGTGCCTCGGTCAGAAATGATGGATACCGGCACGACATAAAGTTGGACGATCTCGCGAATATAGATCTGAGCCAGCTGCTCAGAAGAATAGGTAGTTACCACCAGAATAAAATGAGCCGACTTAGTCAACCTGTCCATAATCACCTATACAATGTCAAATTTCTTGTGAGTCCATGGGAGCCCAACAATGAAGTCCATGGTAATACGCTCCCATTTCCACTGAGGAATCTCAAGTCTCCGAAGAAAACCTCCTAGCCTCTGGTTCTCATACTTCATCTGGTGACAATTTAAGTACCGAGCTATATACTCCACTATGTCCTTGTTCATTCTCCTCCACCAATAGTGCAGCCTCACGTCCTGATACATCCTAGCGGCAACCGGATGAATGGATCACCCCAAACTGTAGGTCTCCCTGCATTTGCAACACACCGTCATCTCTGATAGAAACCTTCTTGGCATTGCCGTACTGTATCGTGTCCTTAAGGACAAGCAAATGGGGGTCGTCATACTGACGCTCTCTGATGCGATCATCTAAAGAAGACCAAGAAACTACGCAAGCAAGAACTTTATAGAGTACATGGGGTTGGTTGTAGTCATACTACACTTCTGCGCTTCTTATGCAGATTCCGGTGTTGGTCCTGGCGGCGCATAGAGGAGATTGCTCGGATAGGATCTATCCAGGAGACTTGACATAGAGCTGTACAGCGTTCGCAGTCCCTGATGTCCCCTTCCTATCTTATTTTACTGTTTATCTTGTTTCGGACAGTTGTATTTCATTTCAGACTGTCTTTGTAGCATTCTAATCGCTCATGTACTTGTGACTCCGAATTTATGGGATTAGTATAGAAAACATTACTTATGGATTTATTATATGTATTTAGAGTATTTTGGTCTTTAATTCTTAATATCTTGCTTTTAAATAGTTAAATTGGTTAATTATTTAGCTAACATTAGCTTGCCTAACAATCGGATGTTAAGTGGCATCACGGTCCCGTGGTTGAGATTTTGGATCGTGACATAATCTTAGCGCATGAATTGTGTTTTGTCTAATATTTTATTTACATTCAAATTAAGATTCATTAGTCGCCCTTAATGCTCCAAAACACCCTATCGCTTGCATAAGCAACGGCCCCTAGCGTCCAGAGCAAGCGCCTTTAGTGTTCCCGACCGCCTGCCTTCAATAAAGGTCTCTCATAAATTAAATTGTAGTGCTAACTTCAATCTGCGAGCCAAATTTTGTTGGAATGGTCGCCTTGTCCATAAATTCACTGAAAGGGGNAATGCAACTTCAATCTGCGAGCTAAATTTTGCTGGAATGGTCGCCTTGGCCATAAATTCCCTGGAATAAGGGGAGGGGCACTTACTAATACATAGGGGAGTTTATAATCATATCCATAATTAGGAAGAAAAGGGTAAAAAATGTGTCAAAAGAGAAAGAAATATTGTGATATATCACTTCTTCCAATGCAACTGTCATTGTTTCAATTACACGCCCACAACAAAAAACATATCCACATAATTCTAAACTAAATACACCAATAATCACCAAATATAACTAAAACTACTTATATGTCTTTTTACTTAATCATGATAAATTTTTTATGATTTGGTGTAAATACACAATAACCTACTAAATATTATTTTAATATTATTTTTTCTAATATAAATTATTTCTTCTAGACACGCATACTTTGAAGTGGAATATAATATAAGTTTAACTGTTTTTCGACATATTTAAATGAGCATGCAAATTGAGATTGAGTAGAAGAATGAAGAGGGTCAATCAAACACACAGAAAGTGAACAAGGTTAGTTTTTAGGCATGCACTTTCTAGTAGACAATATTAAGAGATGGGTACGTAATGTTTGATTTTTGAGTGCTCACCAAATGTTATAATTTTCAACGTCCCCGTTATGGAAGTTTCTTTCCCCCTCCCCCCACTCGTCCAAAATCCATGCGTAATTATCTTTTCTATTTTCGTTCGTCTTCTCACTTTCTTTTCTTTTCCTTTTGTTTCTCGTTTTTTTTTCTTCTTTCTAAAGTCTAAAACTATAGTAAAAACTAAAGAAAGAGTACTATCGATAAATAAGAAATTAACTAAGCACCTAATCAACAGAAAATTTTGGAAGGAAGCGATAATTACTCTAACCCTCCCCCTGACCTCCACTTGGAAAATAATTTTATAAGATTCAAACACTCAAAAATAACACACTCAAGAGTGATAATTGGTCTCGATATAAAGAAAAACAATAACAAGTTCGTATCACTAAGACACTTTACAAATCTATTTATCCAATTCTTTAATAAAATCTCCAGCAATAACAATACTGAAAAAAAGACACAAGTAGTTATTTCCAACAAAGAACAAGAACCAAACTTCTTGTCTGAAAATGAAAATAATGGCGATGGCCTATATGGTCATGAATCTGGTCATCTTTCTCCTTCCACCATCACTACTAATAGTATAGAAAACCCTTACAAATAAATCAACCTCGCCACCACCCTAACTAATAATATTCACAATAGCAAATACCTTCTCAAGAATTACAACACTGTGGCCCATGTCACCGTCTCAACGAACGACCACAACAACAATAACGATGAAGAGTACAAGAATACTGATAGTACTAATAACAAAAACAATAATAACAGGGAGTACTACAATGGCGGCAATACTAACAACAAAAACTACAATGGGGAGTACTACAATAGTGGTAGCATTAACAAATAAAATAACAACAATAGGAAGTACTACAATGGTGTCAATAGTAACAACAACAAGAACAACGAGGAGTACTACAATAGTGATAGTACTAGCAACAACAACAACAATGATGAGGAGTAAAAGAATAGCGGCAATACTAACAACGTAAACAACGACAAAAAACAATACTATAATGATGGTAATACTAACAACAACAACAATGATGAGGAGTACAAGAATAGTGGCAATACTAACAACGTAAACAATGACAAAAAATGAGCACTACAATGGTGGTAGTACTAACAATAACAACAATAAGGTGTACTTCAATGGTGGCAATACGAATGACAACAACAACAATAACAACAACAAGTACTTCAATGGTGGCAGTACTAACAAAAATAACAACAACTAATGCAACGATAACGAGGAGTATCACAATGGGGGTAGCATTTACTACAACAACAACAACAATAATAAGGAGTACTATAATGGTGGCAGTACTAACAACAACAACAATGAAGGGTACTTTAATGGTGACAGTACTAACAATAACAATAACAATAAGGAGTATCACAATAAGGAGAGAACTCATTATAACAACAACAACAACAATAACAACGAGAAGTATCACAATGGGGATAGCACTTACTACAAAAACAACAGCAATAATAACAACAAGGAGTATCACAATGGGGGTAGCACTAACCACTGTAACAACAATAACAACGAGTACTAAAGTGATGGCAGTACCAACAACAACAACAATAATAACAACAACAACAAGGAGTACTATAATGGTGGCGGTACTTAAATCACTAAATACAACCTTAATAAAAGTCATGTTATAAATATTATTTAAATAATGTGTTTGAACTATCAAAGAAAAAAAAATAAAAAAAAATTGAGTTTTTGAAAAGATGAATTATTATCGACCCTATTTATCTGAATCCTAAAAAATAGGTGTTATTATATTAATGTAGTAGTTGAATGAAAAGTAATTGAATATATATTGGAATGAATTTTGTTACCAAGTTTTCATATTCTACTATGAAATTTTCCCCAATTTGTTTTAAGAATTTATAGATAAAGTACGTTCCGAGCTAATGAATATAATTAGTTTTTTTATATAGTATTGAACGTTCAATTAAGAATATAGATAACTATAACGACCCTACCAGTCGTTTTGAGCATTTGTATTACGTCAGCTGTTTGAAGTCTTGAGTAGATTCATGAGAAGTCTTGAATCGTCGGTTTAGGTTTTCATGTGATTCGAGATTGATTTGGAGGAATGATTCTCAACTAGAAAGCTTTAATTGGAAGAGTTGACCAAGTTTGACTTTTATGTGTTTGACCTCGGATCAGAGTTTTTATGGTTCCTTAGGTTCGGATGGTGATTTTGGACTTGGGCGTATACCCGAGATGTTTCGAGAAGGTTATGGCTCTAATTGGTGAAAGTTGGCAATTTGAAGGTTTGGAATAATCGTAAGTTTGACAAGGAGTTAACTTTGATGATATCTGATTCAGATTTTTGATCCGAGAGTTGGAACATGCTCTTTATGTCATATGAAACTTGTGTGTATAATTTGAGGTCATTCCGAGTTGATTTGGTATGGTTCGGCTCGCGTTTTGGAAGTTGAAAGATCATTAAGTTTTATTTGAGGTGTGATTCATGATTTCGGTATTGTAACGAGTGATTTGAGGCCTCGAATAGGTCTGCTTTATGTTTTGGGACTTGTTGGTATGTTCGGATGGAGACCCGAGAGGCTCAGGTGAGTTGCGGACAGGTTTCAGATCATTTTGGAACATTTTGGTTAAGGCTGGTTTGTGGCCATATCTGGTGTGATCGCACCTACGGAGCTCTTTGCCCAGGTGCGGTGTTCCCAGGTGCGGAAACGTGGCCTCAGACGCGAAAAGGTCTGAGTTTGGGGATCTCTGCAGATGCGTGATTTGTGACACATATGCGGAAGCGCATAAGCGGTCTTTTGGGCGTAGAAGCGGGAAGAGGCGCAAGAGCAGATTTTGGCTTGCACCTGCGATGTCACAGAAGTGGAAATGGTTCCGCATATGCGAGAGGTCGGGCTTCAGTGATTTACCGCAAAAGCGGCTGGGTGATCGCAGATGCGAAGATGCCTGGGCAGTTTGTATTTATTCGAGGGTTGAGTTATTTTATTTATATTTTGTGATTTGGAACTCGATTTGTCAGGCAATTTTGGAAGGAATTTTCACCACATCGATTGGGGTAAGCATTTTGGACTTGATTTTGATTATATTCCATGATTCCATTTTTCAATTTTAGAATTTGATTGATCATTTTAAAAGAGAAATTGGGAGGTTTTGTCTAAAATTTTCTAAAATAAATAATTATGATTTGGACATCGATTCGGAGTTAGATTTAAGTAAAGTTAGTATGATTGGACTCGTATTTAAATGGGTTATCGGAATTTGTGAGTTTTGTTGGGTTACGAGGTGCTGGACCGGGTTGACATTTTGGTTGACTTTGAGTATTTGACTAAATATTCGACCTTTATCGTCTGGGTTTGTTTCCTATGGTATTATTTGATATTTTTGAGTTTCTTTTGGATGGTTTCGTTTTGGTGGTTGAATCATGCGGGATGGCATCTCTAGAGTGTTGTTTGGATTGCTCGGTATTAGTTGGTTGAGGTAAGTATATTATCTAAACTTGGCTGAGGCACTAGTTGCCTGAGTTATTTGTGATAACTACGTGCTATGGGTGCGCATATGTATAGGGATTGAGTCTATGTGCGAATACCAGGGTATTTATCCATGCTCGGGGTAGTGCTTACGCTATGCTATGCCTTGAGTTGACTGTTAAGATTTAATCTATGGTGCTTTTCATATTTGTAACCTTGTTGTGAACTATTTGATCCATATCTAAGGTTACATAGAGGCTAATTCCCTGAATGAACTTGATAATTGCTATTTCTGTGATGAAATCGCCGATTGAACTATGATAGCACACTTTGCACATCCCTACACTTTAGCATGTCATTATACCAGTCTAGGAACATGAAATCTAATATTCATTCATTATATCCATGTGCTCTTGTATATTTGCTTCTGTGTGATATGAATTGGACTGGATGCCAGTAACCACGCCGGGCGGATTGAGTTGTTATGCCTGTGACCACACCGAGTGGATTGTATTGTTATGCATGTGATAACGCCGAACGGGTTGTGTTGTTATGCATGTGACCACGCCAGGCGGATTGTGTTGTTATGCTTATGACCACATCGGGAGTATTCCGATATTGAGACTGTGACCAAGCCAGACTGGTAGGACATTGAATTGCATGTGCTTGCATGTGGATACGGATCCATCCCCTAGGGTCTCCCTCTCATGTTTCTCTCTTGATGGTGTACACGCGGATTGTGAGAAACCGAAGGGTTTTTGGTTAATGTGAGCTCTGGGAGAGCTGGTTATTATTATTTGTATCGGGTTGCACGTCGTAACAGGACTTATTGGCTTATTGTTATTTGGATCGGGTTACGCGCCACAACAGAATGATATTTGGTTATTGCATTTCATCTTTACTTGAAATTTCCTTGATTGTTTACCTGATTTACTTGTATATATTCCTTATATGTTGGATTGTTGAATGAGTAGAACACTTAAAACAAAGAATTTTGAGCACCAAGGTGGTTTTACTTGTGTTTTCTTGATTTGCTCATATATATATGTTCTATACTTGTTGGATTTAAGAACTTGTACAGGTGATTGGTGAGTATCATTTATAATTCCTGCTTCTATTACCTCGCTGAGGTTAGTTATGATACTTATTGAGTACATGGGGTTCGTTGTACTCATATTACATTTCAGCATCTTGCGTGCAAATCTTGGAGCTGATGTTGCGGTACATGGCGAGAGTTGGCATTGAAGATATACCCCTTGTCCGGACATGGCTACCACTTGTTCTTGGTAGTCTTAGATTTGAGTCTATTTATGTATTTTCAAACAAATGTTATATTACTTCATACTAATTTTGTAAATCTAAGTCTTAGTGGCCTGTGAATTGTACTACTAGTCCTTGGTGTATTGTATAAAGTTTGAGTTGTTTCATTTATTGATCCCTTATTATTCTCAATTGAATTGTGTTGATTGTTAGTTGGCTTATCTAGCGGGTTGGGTTAGGTGGCATCACGACTAATGAATTTTGGGTAATGACAAGTTGGTATCATATCTCTAGGTTCATAGGTTTCTATGAGTCATGAGCAAATGTCTAGTAGAGTCTTGAGGACCGGTATGATGACGTCCATACCTATCTTCGAGAGTCTACATGGAAGTTAGGATAAACTTCCCATCTTTGTTTCCTTTTCGTGCGACATTGATTCAGCTTAAAGCGTATCTCTTGGAATTACTTCCACTCACTCGTATGTTATTGTAGGAAAACTATGCAGGCGGTAAAAACTATTACCATGAACCCCCGAAATCCATAACACATGCACGTAGCATATCCTCTAAGATCTGAATGGTGCGCTCGGACTGCTCATCCGTTTGAGGGTGAAATGTCGTACTCAACTTAACTCATGTGCTTAACTCACTACAAGGCTCTCCAGAAATGCGATGTGAATTATGTGCCTTGATCGGAGATAATAGACACCGGCACACCATGGAGACGAACAATCTCACAGATATAGATTTGATCCACTTGCTCTAAAGAATAGGTAGTCACCATCGGGATTAAATGTGCCGACTTGGTCAGCCTATCCATAATAACCCATCCTGCATCAAATTTCTTCAAAGTCTATGAGAGCTCAAAAATGAAATCCATGGTAATACGCTCCCATTTCCACTCGGGAATCTCAAGTATCTGAAACAAACCACCTGGCCTCTAATGCTCGTAATTCACCTGCTGACAGTTCAAGCACAGAGCCACATACTCCACTTTTACTTTCTTCTTTCTTCTCCACCAATAGTGCTGCCTCAAATCCTGATGCATCTTTGCGGTGCCCGGATTAATAGAATACCGCGAACTGTGGGCCTATTCAATAATCAACTCACACAACCCATCTACATTGGGTACACAAATCCGACCTTGTATCCTCAATACCCCATCATCTCCAATTGAAACCTCTCTGGCATCGTTGTGCTGCACTATGTCCATAAGGAAAATCAAATGGGGGTCGTCAATACTAACGCTCTCTGATGCGCTTATATAAAGAAGACCGAGAAATAACGCAAGCAAGAACCCAGCTGGGCTCCGAAACATCCAGTCTTACAAACTGCTTGGTCAGTGCCTGAACATCCATGGCTAACGGTCTATCACCAATCAGAATATATTCAAGGCTACCCATACTCTCTGCTTTCCTACTCAAGGCATCGGCCACCATATTGACCTTCCCCGGATGATACAGAACAATGATATCATAGTCTTTTAGCAGCTCTAACAACCTCTGCTGCCTCAAGTTTAGATACTTTTGCTTAAACAAGTGTTGTAGACTCTGATGATCTGTTAATACCTCGCAAGACACGCCGTAGAGATAGTGCCTCCAATTCAATGAGTGAACGATAGATGCTACCTCTAGATCATGAACGGTGCAGTTCTTATCATGGGGCTTCAACTGGCATGAAGCGTAAGCAATCACCCTACCCTCCTGCATTAAGACACACTCAATACTAATCCGCAAAGTATCACCATAAATCGTATATGAACCCGATGTTGAAGGCAAAATTGGAACTGGAGTTATAGTCAATGCAGACTTGAGCTTCTGAAAGCTCTCCACACACTCGTCGGACCACTTGAATGGAGCACCCTTATGGGTCAATCTAGTGAAAGGTGTAGCAATGGACGAGAAACTGTCTAAAAACGACGATAATATCCG